GCCCGGGCCTTTCTTCAGAGTCGGGTGCGGGCAGAGCGCAGCCCCGGAGCGTGCATGACCCTTCGGGGGCCTCGTCCCGCCTGGACGTGTTTTATTGTCTCCCTTCCCTGCACCAGGCCCGGGCCTGCCTTCATTTACCTTCCCGTCCATTTCCAGGCCGGGGTGTCTCGGTGCGCACCCCTCCCTGCCGGCCAAGGCACCAGGCCTGTCCTGTGCGCCTGTCGCCTGCCCTGCCCAGCTCCCCAGGGTGGGGGGCACCTCCCAGGGGCGCTCATCCCAAGGGACTTCTGAACTCGGGAGCTGAGAGGGCCTTGGAGCCCTGGGGGTGCAGCTGGGTGGGTGCTGCAATGCGACTTCCAGCTCGTTCTGAGCATCAGCGCTGGCCTGGGCAGCTGCTGTCCGAGCCCACTGCAGGGGGCAGCTCCCAGGCCCGCCCCTTCCTGGATCTTGGGTCCCCAAGACAGCTTTACTGCCTGCGAGTGGACTCTGGCCAGGACTCGTGTCAGCCGGAGGGTGTGTCAGGCTTGGGCGAGAGGGTGGCTTTCTTTTCCAGCTTCTCTCTTGGGTGCCCCTGTTGCATCCCAGGCTAGTGTCCACTTTCTCAGTCTTCAGTTTTTTTCTGCATCTGGAGGGTGAGGAAGATCGTAGTTCCTCCACACACGGGGATCATTTGTTAACCTCCCTGTGGTCCTGAAACTGAAGCCATGCTCATGAAGGAGGCCCTGGGGGGGCTCATGGGAGAATGTGGGGTGTCCACTTTGAGTGAGGCAGTCCTGTAGGAAGCGTGTTTGTCATTATCCTCGTGGGGAGGAGTGTGGACAGGGGCAGGCAGCGGATTCCCTTTCATCAGGGGGATGCAGTGAGGCTGAGTCAAGGTCCTCATGTACGAGGTCCAGTCTGTGGATGGCCATGACAGGGCCCGTCTGCGGTTGCCTGTGGACACACAAAGCAGGCATGTGTGGACTGGACAAGAACATGTCCTTCGGGGTGTCAGCGTGGTCAGTCACTAGCACGGTGGACAAGAGCAGGGTCACTCCTAAGGTTGAGCCAGAGCAGTGCTCCTCAAGTGGTGTAGACCGAAACAGGTAACTGAGAGCATCTGGAGCAGACAGGTGAGTCATTCACTGTGTCTGTGGACTGAGCAGGAGCCGGTCATTTGTAGTGTCTGCAAGGTGGACCAGAGCAAGGTCACCCTCAGGTTCTCTGTTAAGGACACCAGCAGGTCATCACCCTCACCTTATCTGCGCAGAGGGTAGCAGGCCACAGGTGGGCTGCTGGCATGTGGATCAGCATCACTATGAGTGGCGGTCTCTGCGGCCAGCTGTGATGATGTGTGATTTTCAGGCTTTAAGGACAAGATCAGAAATGGTTATTCCAGCTTTCACTAGCACGGTGTGACTTTCCTCGAGTGGATAAAACCCAGGTCTTTGCAGCTACTGGTGTGGAAAGCGATTCCTATTTTGATGTCTTTGTAGCATGGTGGCGAGTGTCAGACAGCGAATAAAGGCACACGTTTGCAATGATCTTTTTTTCTAAATGAAAGTGAAAATGTGTCTGTTGATTTGGGAAGGACCTTGATGAGGTGAGCAGCGGTAGAGATGACGTGGTGGAAATGTGGACGTACCATGAGCTCAAGAATATTCAGTCATTTGTGCTGTAAGAGTATTTGAAACTGACACAGCTAGAAAACCCCAGAAGCATGGTCCTCAAACACACGCCACCTGCCGTGGTCCAGAGGCTGTCCATCTGGTGACTAGAAGGGACAAGAGCTCATGTGTCGGGACCTTCCACGGGTGTCACTGAGCTGTCACAGCCCATGTTTGTGGGGTGACTTGGAGCTTTCTCTGGAAAGAGGCTGCATATGGGCAGATCAGCTTCTGCACGGCTGGTCTGGAGCAGATCACTGTGACGCCCCGTGTCTGCCTGTGCTCACAGGACTAGTGAGGCCTCTCCCAGTGGAGAGCGAGGTGGGTGGACACTCACCACGCAGGATCCCTCTCCTGGTGCTTTATGTGAGGGAGGCCTTGTCTTAAAGCCTTGCTTTAGCTGCGTCATGTTCTAGGTCTATAATGCCTGGTTGTGATCAGATTACCAAGACCAGGTAAGTCAGGGAAATGAGACCGAGCAGGTGGCCACAGGATCCCCAAGTGGATCCGGGCAGCGTGGGAATTTGCGGTGATGGGACGCAGGGGATGGACGCGCAGTGTATCCCTGGAGCGGAGCTGCAGGTGTCCGCAGGCCACACCGCTCTAGGTCCAGCCTGACAGTCGCAGCATCGGACATGTGCAGAGGCGGCCGAGGGCAGGGCAGCACCGAGGGTATAAAACGCGGGCAGTGCAGAGGTAGGTGACTTAGCCCCCTGTCTCCCTAGGCAGGTGGGAGCCAAGTTTCAGAGAGGGCGCATGGTGAGAGGATATTACGCACTGCGTGGCGGGGAGAGGAGGGTCACATCACTGTGTGCTCCACATGACTCCAGTGTTTTGTCCTTGGGACAAGTGGCAGGGATCGCATCATGCGCTGTCACTTAACCGGAAAGGCGTAGCAGGCGTGCCGACGGGAGGCACGGCGCTTTGCCCCACATAGATGCTATCTGTGTCGGGGGGGTGGCCAGTACCTTGTCACTACTCTATCTTCTGTGGGGTGACTGGGGACCTGCCTGTTTGGTAATGTCAGGCTCCATTGCGCAGAGACTGCAAGGGCGGCTCTGTGTGTGTGTGTGTGTGTGTGTGTGCACTTCAGGTGTGTGTGTCAGCTCAGCCAGGCAGGTATTTTGGACCATGGGCTTCCACTCTTCAGCCTGGACCAGAAAGGAAGGTGCAGGCCCAGGGGCTGCTGTGGGTTCCACGGCCCTCGGGTCTCCCCTGGCCGGGACCTGCCAGCTCTCTTACAACTGGGCTTCTGGTTGCTTCGAGTAGACTTCAAGACAAGCTGGTTTGAGTTCCCCTGCGCTGTTGGCTTAGGAAGTCAGAGCACGCGTCTCAGTTATCTGAGCCTCAGTGTCCCTCCTCTGTAAGTGACGCTGTTTTCTGCCTGTCTCTTTCTGGCTCTTAAATCCTCCATGTCCCTCTTATCCTTTCTCGCTCTCTCAAGTCGCCGATCATTGCAACAGCAGCCAGTGCCATGGCCCTGAAAGCCGGCGGTGGCCATCTTTATGGCATCTAATTTAATCTTTGCTGGAACTCCCTGCCAAGGAGGCATGTTACCCCCTTCTCGAAGATAAGGAAACGGATGTTCAAATAAGTTCAAATGATTTCTGCGACTATCTGAAGACTGGCACGGTGCCATCCTCTCTCCGCCTTCCTTTCCTCTTCCTGCCAGAAACCTCTGTTGAGGACCAGCTGGGCCTCAGGCGAGGGGAGCAGGTGGCTAACGGGCAGAGTCTGAGCCATCTGAGGCTCCAGGTCTGCCCAGACGGTGCCTGAGGAGAGCTGCAGGCTGGGGCCAGCGGTGCGGGCGGAGAGAAGCTCGGCTGAGGTGGGGGTCAGCGGGCCTGGGCGACTGACTGGATATGGGGGGCATGGACCAGGAGGGAGCGTTTCCTTCTGTACTGGAAACATCTGTCGCAGACTCAGTGTGGCAGGTGTTGCTGAGATGCAGACGCCTGAGCAAGACAGATGAAGGTCACCCCTTGTGTTTGAGATCAATCAAAACACACCCATGATTTTATGATGATCGTATAAATGCTCCCCAACAAAGGAGGCTGCACAGAGGGCTGCGTAAGGAGCTAGAGACTGGAACAGGTGAAGTGATGAATCCAGAATGCAGCCTCACATACCAAGAGAGGGGGGTCCACAGGTTACACAACACAGGGAGCCCCCAAAATAAGTGCCTTGGAGCCTCCCCTGAAACTTAGCGACATTAGGATTGTGGGGTGTGGGGGGAGCATCCTGGGGGCCTTGACGCTTGGTCAGGGGGAGTTGAGATGTGAGGCCAGGAGGGCAGCAGTGTGGACAGTCCCCTCCCCCTCGACGGGGGAGCCCTGGGTGGCCTGTGTCCTGGTGGGGTGCTCCAACGGAGAAGGGAGAGGCATAAGGCGTGAGGAGGCAGAGCCCCTCACCCGAGAGGCTGAGAGAGGGAAATGCAGCCCCCTCTGAACGACAAGAAATGGAGCCTCTTCCCTGGCTCCCCGACTCTGCAGGGCCGATGAGGCATTCGGGTGCAGGGAGCAGGGAGCTGGGTGGGTCCGATTTTGAGATTATTGACAAGAGTTCTCAAGGCTGACGAGAGGTGGGGAGAGGATGGTAATGAGTCGCGGCCCAGTGGCAGTGGGTGAACGTTCAATCCGGTAAGTTTAGTTCGCAGAAGTGGGTGACCTTTGTATCTGCTGCATTCCAATCTTACAAATCTAGTTATTCCACTTTGCAGCAGCCGCCTCTCGAGCTGGCAATGCCGGTTGCCGTGCTCTGCTGGACTCCTCGGGAAATGAGGTGTCAAAGGCAGACCCTGGAGGACAAGGCCTGAGACGTGGGCCACAAGTGGCCCCACCGACTTGGGTCCTCTGACAGCGGCTCAGGAGGAAGAGCCCCACGCAGACGCTGCTCTGTGGGCTCTCGGGCCGAGGGCGTGTCACTCGGTGCCTCCAGCCTGTGGGGCTGAGTCACTGCTGATGCCCAGGGAGTAGACGGGAAAGACGGGAGTGACCTAACTCCGTCGGGGAGTAATGACCACTGGGAGCGCTCGGGCCTCTCCAGCAACGGTCTCGGGCTCTTATTGAATCATTTATTATCCGTCTCCTTCCCGAGACTGCAGGCTCCGTGAGGAAAGGTCTCTGTCTCGTGCCCTCCCTGATGTCCTGCATTTAGAAAGGGTCACCCGGGAAATAGTCACTACATGAATAAATGATAAGTTTTGGGGAGACTGGAGCTGAGTCCCTTTTGTCTCTAAGAGTGAGTCTCCATGGAGCCCAGAAACGTCTCCCCTGACCCTGTGTGGTCCGTCCCTCTGTCGGGCGCGGCCAGAGAGGGCCTTGAACTCCGTCTCTTGTTCCTGTAGGATTCCGGCCTGATGGAGGCTGAGGAGCCGCCCCGCGGAGCCTCTCCTCCCGTCTCTGTTGCGGCGGAGTTCACTGTCCACCCTGCAGCTCTCGGGAGAAGCGACCCGATGCCTGCCTTGGGGCCCGAAGCTGAGGAAGGCCTGGACCCAGACCCTGCATGGGCCGAGGGCTGTGGGCTCCTGGAGACCCAGCGGGGGGCTCGCTGCCAGGCACCCGAGAGCATGTCCTCTCCCCCCCGAGAAGCCTCTGCGCACGTGCACAGCCGGGAAGACCTCGTGGCTGAGGCCCGGGACTCCGCCGAGGGCCCGGCCAGTGGACGGACAAGGACGCCAGTTTCCCCAGGGCCCTGGGCCTGCCCTGGCCAGGGCAAACCACTGGACACCCCAGTATCCAGTGAACTGGGCAGCAAAGTGGAACCTAGACCAGAACTAACCTCTCGGACTTTGGGAACCGGACAAGCCAGAGAGGAGGAGGAAACTTCTCCCGCCGCGTCTGCCCAGACCGGACTTGGGCCTTCCTGTGAAGAGCGCCCCACGGAGACCCGCCAGCCCCGGGGCTCTAGAAGTAGATGTGTGGGGCCAGGGGTGGGGGCGCAGGAAAGTCGGGGGCCAGAGGAGCTTGTGGATCCCTGGGAGCCCCGAGTGCTGCACGAGCAGGGACCCAAGGAAGCAGAGCCTCAGGGGGAAGGAGCTGCGGGCGTGGGAGGTGGCTCAGATGGGCTCCTCGGGGGGCCAGAGCACATGGGGGAGCAGCTCAGTGGTCCAGAGGGTGCACAGGGACAGAGCCAGAGGCAGGCAGGACCAAGTGAGGCACTGCTCGCAAAGCAAGGAGAAAGGGAGAAGCTTATGGGGGAACTGGGAGGTCTGGGTCAGGGGGAGTCGGCCCAGGCCGGTATAGAGAGGAGGACCCAGGGCCAGGGAGAAGCAGAACTGGGGGAACAGAGGAGGGGCACCTGGGGGGCACCAGAAGAGAGTACGGTGCCTGCGCAGCAAGGGGAGATTGAAAGCTTAGTGAAGAAGCCAGAGAAAGTAACTGGGGAGCAAGAAGGGGGTCAGAGTGGGAAAGAGAGAGCAGTGGGCGGGCAGGAGGAGGTGAGGTGGCGTGAGGAGGAACCTGGGGATGGGCTTGGGGGTGCCCTGCAGGCAGTGGGCGGAGGACTGGGCCCTGAAGAGGGGGACGAGCAGGATGGCCCTTCTGCACTGGCCCCGGGGGCCCCTACAGTCTCTCCTCCCTCCGTGCCCGGGAGCCCCAGGACTCAGTCTAGGGCTGAGGAGGGGTCCCGGGGAGCTCTGCCGTCTGCACTGGAGCCTGTGAGATGGTCCTGGCCCATGTCCTCAGCTACTTCCTTCCCTGCTGGGGGGTCCCCTGGCCAAGAAACAGCGTGGGACAGCCAGCCAGGGGCGTCTGAGCGGGGGAGGGGGACAGAGGTGGCCCTGGCAGGTATGTCTGTGACTTCCCCGCGGACACCAGACTCAGCTCCTTCCAGCCCTGCTGACGTCTCCCCCAGCACATCTGCCAGTCCCCCGGTTGCTGTTCCAAGGACGAAGCCCGCTCTCGACGCTGTGTGTTCTCCAGAAACCTCCAGAGCCTCTCCGGAGCCCCCTGTCACCCTCCATGACTTGCCCCCTGCAGAGACCCCCCTGGACCCACAAGCCAGCCCCCCCTGGGCCAGCTGCACGGGCCCCACCCAGCACCTGAGGAGCAACTCCTTCCCCGGTTCTCACAGGACAGAGCTGACCCCGGGCCTCGCGGGAACCTCCCTCTCTGCCTCCCACTCCCAGCTGCCCCAGGGGCTGCCCCCCAGGAGGAACTGCAGCTTCATTCCAGAACCCCCTGGTCCGCTCTCCACTCTGGGGCAGGATTCTCCAGACTTCTCAGGTGCAGACAGACCCAGGAGACTCCCCAGCAGCCACTGCAGGGGCTCCCCACACAGTGAAGCCTTTGAGCCCAGTTCTCCTGCCTGTGCCTCGTCCCCCCACCTCGGCTCCACAGACTCGAGGCTCTGCGAACCCGCGCCCCCTCCTCCCCTGGAGAAGAGGCAGGCGCAGCCCCCCGCCGTGGAGAGAGCCGGACCTTGCACAGCGGCTCCCGCGCTCAAGCGGCAGCAACTTCCTCCTCCCTTGGCCCCGGCCCTGGAGCTCGATGGCCCTGGCTCCGGAGCCCAGTGCCCCCCTCAGCTCCCCGGCGCCCCTGCAGCAAGGCAGCTCCGACCTCTGCCCCCGACCCCCGACGCCCCCCAGCGCCCTCGGACCTCGTCCGCCCCCAGGCTGCTCTACAACAAGCCGCTGCCCCCCGCTCCTGACTGCTCCCGGCCTCACTGCTCCCCGTCTTCAGGCAGCCCAAGGACCTACAGGCCGCTGCCCCCCGTCCCCATCGTGGACCCTTCCTCCGAGCCACCCCCGCTGCCCCCAAAGACCAGGGGGAGGAGCCTGGGAGGACTCGGCAGTTCAGGGGGTCACGCCGGGCCTTGGCCTGTGTGTCAGGACTGGACAGCCTCAGCCCCCACCCCAGCGGGGCGCACGTCCTGGCCCCCGGCCTCAGCCAGGTCCACGGACTCACTGGCGCCCGCTGGCAGGAGTCAGAGTGAAGCATCCGCCGGCCTGGCCTTCAGCAACGTCACCAACTTTTTGGGTCCCTCCTCCCCAACCAGCCCCTGGACTGGGGGCCTTCAGGGACCTGCCCATGACCTGGGGCCGCCGGAGGAGCTGACGGTCCCTGCCAGGGGGTCTCTGAGGAGAACAGCCCCCCAGGAAGGCACCAACGGCCTGAGGAAGACGGGACTAGACCAGGCGAGGCCTCCAGAGAAGCCCAGTCACCCCCAGCTGGAGAAGGCGTCCAGCTGGCCCCACAGGCGGGAGCCGGGGAGACCGCGGGACGGCAGCCGGGGACAGGCCGTGGCCCCTGGCGAGGGGTCCGGCAAGCTCAAGGGCTGGAGCCGGCAGGGCCTGCGCAGACCGTCCATCTTGCCGGAGGGCACTTCAGGTAGGCGAGACGGGCCTGGTGATGCCCCGGCCAGACCCGCCTTCCCTGCCTCTCCCCGTCCCTGGCCCCAGGTCCCTGCAGCCCCTCTGCTGGCTCCCCCTCCACTCACCCCAACCCAGGCTGGGGGGCCTGTCTGCGCCCACCTCAGCTGCTTGCTGTGGCCCATCTGTCACCGCCCAGGGTGCTCTTGTGATTTGTACGAGTCCTCGGGGTTGCTCTAAACCCCCCCCCCACTTAGCAGAACCTGCTTGAGCCCCCCCGGGAGTGGAGAAGGTGGGGCCCTCGTGTCCAGTCCCATCTGACACAGAGACACGGGTGTTAGGGCCCCCAGAGGCTTTGCCTTTGGGGCCTCCTTCCCTCACAGAAGCCCGTGGAGGCCTTTTATCCCCCACGGCGCCCGGCCGCCTGCAGCCACCTCCTTCCTCTCTAAACCCCGGGTGCTTTCGCCCACGCCCATGTCGCACACAGGAGGTGCAGCCACGGAGAAGCCCCCCGCCTCTTCCGACGCCATTGTCTTCCGGTGAGTCCCTCTGTCCCTGGGGTCTGACGCTTGTCTTTGGGTGCTGAGCTGGCCGCTGGCGGACCTGGGCAGCTGGGCGGGGAGGGGGCAGGACAGACACCAGGACCCCGGAGTAGGGCCACCTTTTGCCTACCCAGTCCTGCCAGCTGAGTCCACATCACCTGCCTGATGCCCATGAGCTGAGCCCCTGAGCCGGCTCCCACCTGCCCAGGGGCGGGTCTGGTCACGACCTGGCCCTGGCTTCCCGGCCCCGTCCCGGGGGCTGGAGACTTCGTCATTTAGCGCACCCAGGGGTCGTCTCTGGCAATGGCCAGCAAGCTCCCCAGAGCCCTTCCCGCCTCACAGGGAGAAGAAGCCCAAGGAGGTGAAGGCTGGCTTTTCAAGACGCTCGCGGCTCATCAACTGTGAGTACCTGCGGGCAGCCCTGAGGTGCCCGTGGACTCCGCCCGAGGCTGGAGGGGCCCCTGGCGTGGGGAGTGGGGAGTGGGGTAGTGTCCACAGGGGAGCCAGAAGCCGCTGGAGGGGTGTTTCCGGACCTCAGCTCACCATCACTGCCCCCTAACTCTCCCCCCTCCGCTTCTGCACCCCACAGCCCAGCCGCTGTACCAGGAATACAGCGACCTGTTTCTGAACAAGGCGATTCAGAGCCAGAAGCGGCTGGACAGCATAGCGGAGTCACCGGGGCCCGCCTCCCCCCGCCACCCCCGGAAGACCCTGGTCTCCTCCGAGTCCTACGTGCAGCGCCTGTCCATGGCCTCCAGCGTCTCCCTGTGGCAGGAGATCCCCATGGTGCGCAACAGCGCCGTGCTGCTCTCCATGACCCATGGGGACCAGAAGCTGCAAGAGGTACCAGCGGGCAGAGCGGAGGTGGGCATAGGGGCAGAGCGGGTGCAGGTCTTGTTTGCTGGCATCCTGTGCCTGCTCGCCACTGTCGCGGCAGCTGCCCCTGGACGCACACGGGTGCTCACCAGACGGGCGGGTTTAGGTGGTTTTCTGAATGACACCACTGTCCCTCCTCTCCAAGACCAAGTGCGCGGGCCAGTCGCTCCCACTTGCTATTGGTTTGGGCTCCGACAAAGCAACCGTGTCTCTGAATTTGCTGGGATGGTGTTAACCCACCGCTGCTGCTTCAGTGTCACTCTTCAACCGGGAGTGCAGGCTGCGCTGAAGCCATCCTCGTCAAACAAAGCACGTGCAGGGCCTTCTTGTTGGGCCTTTGTCAGGTCCCCCCGGCAGCTGACCTGTGGTCCCCTGGACTCACAGACCGTGCAGTGACACTTAGTCTCTGCGGTATCCTGCGAATAGCCAGGCTGGAGTGGAAGCTGTTGGTCTGATGTTGATACTATTATAGATTTTACATGGAGAACGTCTCTTCATAATCTGTCTGAAAATGGGTTAGAAACCTTCCCAGGAAGCCAGCATGGCAGCGTGGACAGGCAGCGTAGACTAGTGTTCAAGTTCCCGAAGCCTGGAGTAAAGCACAGGGTATCAAGCCCACTTCAGTGCTTGCCAACTATTTCCCTTTGGCCGTGTTACTTGATCTCTCTCGGCCTCTCCTCGTGGGTGAGACTGGTTGCAAAGAGTTACTGGGAAAATCAAAAAAGATAAGTTCCAGGTTCCTAGTTCCTGGTACAGCGAAATCACTCAAAAGTATTTATGACCCGAGTTTGCATCCTGGCATCAGCCTTTGCAGTGTCAGCCGTGTGATATGAGCCTCAGCCTTTGTCTCAAAGTGGAGAAAGGACACTTGCCTTGCAGGGCTGCGTGCAGTTTAAACAAAATGACCTAGTGCCACCTTTTAGCACAACACCCAGCACACCGTGACTTATGCTCCCCCGTAGGATGCCGAGGAGTAAAATTTTGAACAGAAAGACGTGTGGAGAAGGTCTCATCAAATCAAACACAGATTGGTTCACATTTTAAGGATTTATTTTTTATTTGTTTTTGCATAGAAGAACTGGGGTGCAGGCCAGAGGTGTGAGGAGTGAGAGGATTCACCAGAGACAGAGCAGGGAACAGAACAGATGGAAATCCACTGCTGAGGGGAGCAGCGGGGAGACAGGAGAGGTCTGCTGTGCCATGTGGGTAGCTCCCTGGCCGGGGATCGAACTCGTGTTGCAGAGGCTGCAGATAGTTTCATAGTGCTGAGACTTAACCCCTTGTACCACCAGGAGGCCCTGGTTCACATTTTAAAGTATATGAAGGGATGTTTACAAAATCAACGATCTGTGCTGGTTGATGGACCAATCGGTGGGAGATGTCGTGAACCCCAATACCTGCAGAGTGGGACCTGACCCTCCGGGCCTCACGTTTCTGAGATAGTGGTCTCCTCACCTCTTCCACGCATCTGCTCCTGTCATACAATGGCACTTCTGGCACCTACGTTTTTATTTCAACCGTCACACCAGCGTTGTGAGGTTGGGTCACTGTTCCTACATGAAAAGACAAGAAAACCGAGGAGGCTCAGTGAGGTTAAATGAGCCACCCAAGTCCTGGGGTCAGCGAGTATTAGGGCAGGGCCTTGAGGAGCCCCCCACCCCGCTGTCCCCATTCAGTTTGGCAGCAGGAGGGGCCACCGGGCCATGTTTGCACAATTAAGTCCTCACCAAGGTGCACAGCCTTTCTCTCTCCGGGCCATGCAGGGCCCTTGAAGCTGCGTGCTGGGGCAGAAAGCCCGCCCCGCCCAGCTAGAGGAGAGTGGCTGACTCACTCCTCCACCCCCGCCGGAACCCCCAGGCCCTCTGCTGTGAGCATTTCCATTAAACCACAAGGCACCAAGGCACAGTCTCCTGCTTCCTTGCACTCCTGAAGCCCCAAATCACCTTCGTGCCCTAAACCCATTCACCGGTCAGAGATCCCATCCATCACCCTGTTAACCGGCTCAAATGAGGCAGGAGCTGCGGCCTCAGCTGCTCGCTCAGCCCCTGTTTCTAGAAAATTACCAAGCGCTTCTGAATCTCTCAAATAACAATGACCCGGGCCCATCCCTGCGGTTGCTCAGGCCTCTTCTCACCTGGAATGACGACAAGTTTCCTGATGCTGCTGTCCCGCCTTCTCCTCTTCCTGTGTCCTCTGAATGTCTTCATGAAAAACAAGTCTAACCAAGTCACTTCCCTCCAGAAAGACCTTGTTTTGTTTTCTCATTGTCTGAAGCGCAAACTGTCTCAGGTGCCTCCTCCCTGCGTCTCTCCGAGTCCTCTCCGGCCGCTACTTTAATACACTTGGCTCTAGAAATGCTCAGCTCGTTTAAGTTTCCTGAAAATGCCTTTCTCTTACGCCTTTGAGGTTTGTGTGTATTTTCCCCCTGGGGTCAAATGCTCTTTTGTGCTCCCCCGAATAGCACGTACAGTTTGGGTGACTGTGAGCTCTGGGAGGGTCTGTCTTGCTGCAACTCTGAAACCTAACGCAGCGCCTGCCATCCAGCAGGGATGCAGTTGTTTTTTAAATTAATCCTCCTCAGGCCTCCCTGGTGGCGCAAGGGGTTAAGTCTCAGCACTATGAAGCTGTCAGCAGCCACTGCAGCACGAGTTCAATCCCCAGGCAGGGAGCTACCCACATGGCGCAGCAGACCTCTCCTGTCTCCCTGCTGCTCCCCTCAGCAGTGTATTTCAGTAGATCCACCTGTTCTGCTCCCCACTCTGTCTCTGGTGAATCCTCTCACCCCCCATACACACCTCCGGCCTGCACCCCAGCTCTTGCATGCATAAATAAATCTTTAAAAAAAAAAAGAATGAATCCTCCTCTTCCCCATCCTCTAGGCCAAGTTCGAGCTGATCGTGTCGGAGGCCTCCTACCTGCGCAGCCTGCACATCGCGGTGGACCACTTCCAGCAGTCGACCCTGCTCCGGGCCACCATGACCACCCAGGACCACCAGTGGCTCTTCTCCCGGCTGCAGGACGTGCGTGACGTCAGCACCACGTGAGGCTTCCTTCTCCCCCACGCCACTCCCAGCCTCACCCCTTAGTCTGTAAACCTCTAGCTGGGTTTTCCCCCGTCTGAACCGCTCTTGCTCTGACTCCCGGGGCTGACGGCGCGTGGAGCAAAGGCTCACAGAGGGTGTGTGGATGGGCAGATGCGTTCACAGATCAATAAATGACGGAGGGAGCCTCCTGCATTAAGGGTTGGGTGTACCATGCGGTGGGAAGGCGGGGAGATGAGGTGTAGGAAGCATCTAAATGTCGTACAGTCTGAACACGACCAAACGAGACCATCAGCAGGGTGGCTTTAGATAGGGGCCCGCTCCTCGAAGGGCTACTCAGTGGGGTCGCTGAGTGGACGGCAGTCACCGGAGGGCCCAGCCGGGGCGGGTGGGCCAGCAGCTCCTGCGGGGCCCCCGGGCTCATGAGGTTTGTTCAAATGCTCTATAGGTTCCTTTCAGACCTGGAAGAGAACTTCGAGAACAACATCTTCACCTTCCAAGTGTGTGATGTCGTCCTGAACCACGCCCCCAACTTCCGCCGAGTCTACCAGCCTTACGTCACCAACCAGACCTATCAGGAACGCACCTTCCAGAAGCTGCTGTAAGAGCCGGCCCCCCATTCAGACCCCACGAGGGCCCCGCAGGTGCCTTGCATCAAGCGATCTCAGTCCCCAGCCAGAGTCTGTCCCCAAAGCACGCGCCCCTGGGCGCACCTGTGAGCTCAGCCCTAACCCTCCTTCCAGATCAGAAGCCCTGGGCTGTCCCGTCCGGCCTTCCGTGCGGGGGTTCCGCCTTCCCAGCCCAGACAGCCAGGGAGCCTCCCCTCCCACCTACTCTGTGCTCCCCAGCCCCCCTCCAGTGCTCCCGCACCCCTCCTTACCCGAGGCTTGCTGCCACGCAGGACCAGCAACAGCAGCTTCCGGGAGGTGCTGGAGAAGCTGGAGAGCGACCCCATCTGCCAGCGCCTTTCGCTCAAGTCCTTCCTGATCCTGCCCTTCCAGCGCATCACCCGGCTCAAACTGCTGCTGCAGGTTCGTGCCCCCCGCCCCGGCTCTCCCCTCGCTCTCAGGCAGCCCCAGGTAAAAGCCTGCCCTTCTGCAGCTCTCCCCGCTCCGTGACCTTGAGCAGTGCCCGCCCCCCGCCCCCCGAGAAATGCCTGCTGTTGGCAGCTTGTGCCCAGCCTCCTCCATCAGCCCACCCAGCCCGCTCTCCCCCATGCCCATCCCTCCTTTCCATCTGGCTCCCTCCTGCTGTGTGTGCTCTAGAACATTCTGAAGAGAACACAGCCTGGGTCTTCAGAGGAAGCGGAGGCCACGAAGGCACACCACGCCCTGGAGGAGGTAGGCAGCACCCCCAGCCCCAACCACCTCCCCAGCACCCCCTCCTACCGCCCACCCCCACCCCCCGCCAGGCCACTGCTGCAGAAAGCACAGCCCCCTGCTAGTGGTTTTCTCACCCGCCTCCCTGCGTGTATCCAACCCCCCGTGGTCACACCCCACAATCTCTTCTCCCACACGGAGCACACTGCACCCCAAGGGGCGGTGCTCTCGCCACGCCAGGCTGAACCCCACTTCCCTGGGCCGGGAAGGTCCTCCCCAGCCACACTCAGTGTCCCAGGGTTTTGGAACTTCAGCCCGATGCCGCCTCCGCTCGGCCCCAGCCCTGCAGGAAGGAGAGAGGCCGTGGCCACCTCTGCAGATTTCTCGCAGGGCAGGCCGCGGGCCAGGCGGCTAACCGAGCTCTCCCTCTCTCCCTGCCGCCGCCCAGCTGATCCGGGACTGCAATGCCAGCGTCCACACGATGCGCCGGATGGAGGAGCTCATCTACCTGAACCAAAAGATCGAGTTTGAGTGTAAGGTGAGCCTCCCTGGCCCCAGCCCGCACCGAGCCTCGAGCTCCCCGCGCACACCAGGGGCTCCTGCTCACACCACCCCAGTCTCGGACCTCATGCTGCACACCTCCCATTCTGTGCTATCTGGGGGACACCCGGTGTGTCCCCGATGGGAAGCGGGAGGCTCCCATCGGCACGTGTGTCTGGGGCGTGTGCCTGGACAGACGCTGGGGAAAGACAAGACATGAAGCCCCGTGGTCCCCTGAGGAGGAGACAGCGCGTGCCTCTGGGAGCCGACGAGGGGGCTCCTGTGTCCAGATGTTTCGGGCTCCTGAACCCTCCAGGATTTCGTCAAGTGTCTACCCCAACCACAGCCACACACAGTTGATCCAAATAGGAATCCAAACTGTACATCCCCATAAAACCTACAGCACACTGCACACTCGGCTGTCAACTCAGGACAGAAAGAAAGGGGGGACCCCTCAGCCGCCTGTTAGCCGCAGCTCAGCACGCCCGCCTTTCCCCAGACTCCAGCTCCCTGCGGCCCCACCGGCTCTCTTACTCCCACATCCGATTCCAGCCGCTTCTCGTGTGTCTGTTTATAATCAAAAGGAGACCTTGTCAGGATGGCCCGCTCCTTTAGCGCCAACACCCACATCCCTCTGCAGCCCGCCCTGCTCCTCCGTGAGCCCCCTGGGGCTCTCCCGTCTCTTCTGCAGTTCAGGCGTCGAAGTCTGAGCTTTCCACGCAGCCGCTGTCCCGGGCCGGACAGTCGGCACCTTCCGTTTGTCTGAGCGCTGGGCACGGTGTCCCCGACCTGCAGACGCAGGCCTCAGGCGTTCAGAGGGAAATGGAGCGACAGGGCGGGCCAGGAGGAGGTGCAGGAGACGACTGTGCGCCGGGTGCGGGAGGAAGACGCGGGGCGGGCGAGGCCGGCAGGCTGGAGGAGCCGCCACTCGCCCTTCTGTGACGCCGCCTCCCCCCGTCCCCCCACTCTAGATATTCCCGCTCATTTCTCAGTCGCGCTGGCTGGTGAAGAGCGGGGAGCTGACAGCCCTCGAGTTCAGTGTCTTGCCAGGACAGCGGAGGAAGCTGAGCACGCGCCCCATCTACCTGCATCTCTTCAATGACTACCTGCTGCTGTCTCGGCCCCGAGAGTCAGTGACTTTAACGGGAGGCCAGAGGGGGGGCCCGGCAGGGACAGAGCGCGGTCCTGTTCCTGCAGGACCTTCCTGGTGCTCAACCTGGGGGGGGGGGGCGGTCTAGGTCGGAGCCCAGAGGAGCAGAAGAGAAGGTCCAAAGCGAAAAAGGCGATGCCAATCCATTGTGGCAGGAGCTTATATGGCAGGACCTGTCTTGTGTTACAGACAAAGAGCAAAATGTGGCCAATTAGCTCGTCACGTTCTCAAATCAGTGAGCTTGGCCCAGGTTCAGCCTGCGAGCCACTTCCAGAGCCGAGCTCCTGACCCGAGGGCCTTAGGAAATCTGTTTGATGCCATGTCTTCAACGCATGATGGGCCCGTAGCCGCCTTCTAGAGGGGCGGCTTGCCACGCTGGTAGTAGGTTCTGGGCCTCTGGGGTTTCTCCCCTGGGAGGAAGTCAGTGCTGCTTTGTGGTTTTTATGAGAATTGCAGGGGCAGATGCTAAGGATTTTAAATCCAAAGGGATGGGGGTGGAGGACGTGGGAAAACCCGAGTCCCGCGTTGAAAAGCACTGTCTTTGGCAGGAATAACCGCTTCCTGGTGTTCGACCACGCGCCCTTCTCCTCCGTGCGCGGGGAGAAGTGTGAGATGAAGCTGCACGGATCCCACAAGAACCTCTTCCGACTCTTCCTGCGACCCAACCCGCAGCGCTCCCAGGCCGAGTTCCTCTTCAGCACCGAGACGCAGTGAGATGGGGCCGGGAGAGGTGGGGGGGGGGGCTGGGGAGCACAGCCTGGCAGGAAGGGGTACCAAGCAGGAAACATGTCCAGAAAACAGCTGCGACACGTATGGCTCAAATAAATGCTGACTGGAGGGCCCCCTCCCACGCCGGGCAGGAGGCTGGGGCTGCGAGAGGGTGCACAGCGCCGCCAGGGCTGAGCGTCCGTTTTATACCCTGACGTCAAGGAGGACAGTCTGTGCGGCCCCAGGATGGAGGTGGACTGGTCAGGGGTGTGCACAGCTGATTGCAGTGCAGCAGGTCCCCTGGCTGCCGGGCACTCGTGTGGACAGCACCAGGGTCTTTAGCTTTCCTGCTCCCACCTTCCAACCAGTCCTGTGCTGAGCAGAATCTATAACATCGGGAGCTTTGACTTGCCTGTCTTTGAATAACAATAAATAATAATTATTGTACACATACATACACTTCAGAGAATATTTAAAAACCACCTATAAAATCTGGCCCCCAATGGCTGCAGGAACGAACAGTTGCAAGCCTCTAGCCAGTATTGCTGCTGTCTTGATACCTCATGCTCTGAGGGTCTTCATGTGGCAAACGCTTTTCGGTTTTGAGCCTCAGAAGATCCTTCCAGGAGGCCCAACAGTGTCCGCCCTCATTTATGAAGCAAAGGGTTAGGACCGGGGTGTGTAAGTGAAATGTCGCCCAGCTCAAGTCATCAGATGCGGCAACTCATGTTCCTTTTAAGACGGTGTTGGGCACCGTCTTCCTGGGACAGTAATGGGGTCAGCTCTCAATTACACACGAGTATGAAGAGGCAGTGAGTAAGATAATGTAAAAGTGTTCAGATAATTACAGAATTAGATTTGGGCTATATTACCTGGCTGAAAAAGAAAAAAAAAATAAAGGTAGCTTAGTCTTCCTGATCTAATTATGATTATAGAATAATTTCCATCGCAGATATTTGATTGAAGGCAGGTGGGCAGAGAAGTGTCAAGAATCACGCAGAAAGACAGAGGGGATCTAAATGAAGAGGAATATTTTCCTCGGCGAAGTCCCCCAGAAGGGAAATGCCTATATGTATAATTGACAGTTGACTTGATGCCCCCATTTGAAAGCCAGGAGACGCCGTGAGGAGGATGAGCTCCACACGGGGAGAAGTAGAGAGGGACGCGGCGTGTTAGCACAGAGCTCGAGAGCCTGGCATTTCCAACCAAGCGGAGTCCCACGAACGTTTGCCCTCGATGTCATTGACGTAGACACACTCGAACTAGACGAGTTCTTCCCATACTCACCTCTGTTTCCCGACCCTGCCCCTGCCTTACCCACCCCAGAGCTGCAGCTGAAGCTCTGACTGTCCCTATTTTGTTTTCTCAGAAGTGAAAAGCTTCGCTGGATCTCAGCCTTGGCCAGGCCAAGAGAAGAATTGGACCTACTGGAGTGTTATGGTGAGCGGGGTCTAAGAGCGAGAAGCATGGCAGCCTCAGAAGTGTCCTTTGGAAGCAGAGTTCAGGCGTCTGGGTGGTAACTCTGGAGCCCTCTGCTCGTTACACTTGTTCAGAATTTCAGAGTGGAAGACAGGCCCCTGAGCGTCAGCACTGAGATGCAGTTGCTGAAAACTGCTCGTCCCCATGGCAGTGCCTCTTCCTCCTCCATCCCCTACTTGGGCAGTAGCTGACTCTTTGAAAAGATGTGTCCCCTTAAGTCTATTGTGCTGTCATTTCGCCTTGATCTTACTGTATCAAAGATCTTGGGGAAGGAAGAGGGGAAAGTAGGGCTGGAGTGGGAACTGCAGGGAGATAGAGCTACACGGTAGGTCTGTCCCAAACCCTCCTGTGCAGGATGACCTGACGCCACTATGCGTACCCCAGGTTTCCAGGTGCCCAAGGGAACCGCAGGCACACCCTGTGCCAAGACCGGACTTGTGGGTCTCATACAAACCCTATAATTTTTCTCCAACAAGGATCCCCTCCAGAGGGGAACTGAATGCAAAGAAACACTGGGTCTTTGGTGACTCACAAGAGCAAATAAATACAAGGAAGCTTGGAAAAGGAAGTAGAAGGACGGGGCTATAAACTGGGTTCTGGTAACACGTCCACGTGTGACCATCTGCTGGGCTGCAGGTCCCCGGAGGGGATGCGGCGGCCGTGATTCTGCTCGGCTGTGATCTTGTGGTGGCAGAGGGGATGAACTCGAGAAAATGAAGGGCAGATAACAGCACCGTGTTTTGTCTGTTTTCTGAAGGAATCAGTGCAGTGTGGTGACAGAGACAGAGCAATCAGTCCACGCAGGATGGAAAGCTGTGGGTCAGGCCTGCTCCCGGGCTCCCTGTCTGGAGCTTCAAACCTTTGGAAATTTGGTTTCCAAGTTAGAGAGTCATGAAAATGTAGAAAATTCAGAATTTCCACAAAAGTCATCTTAATCAGCCCAGCCATTTACAGAGGAGGAAACTGAAGCTAAAGGGGATTAAGTGCCTTGCTTAGGTCACACCTGGAAACTCACACCTGAAATTATGAGGAAAGGAAAAATGAGTCACAGACCCAAGATTTTACAATCTGCTCAGAGGGGCAGAAATATACATGAAGAAATAAACAGGGATAAATGCCGTGTCCTAGACGATCAGTTTATTTGTTTTTTTAAAGATTTATTTATGCATACAAGAACTGGGGTACAGGCCAGAGGTGTGGGGGGTGAGAGGATTCACCAGAGACAGTGGGGAGCAGAGCAGGCAGATCTACTGAAATCCACTACTGAGGGAGCAGCAGGCGAGACAGGAGAGGTCTGCTGCGCCATGTGGGTAGCTCCCTGGCTGGCGGGGAATCGAACTTGTGCTGCAGTGGCTGTCGACAGCTTGATAGCACTGTCTTTAACTCCTGTGCCACCAGGAGGCCCCCCGACAATCATTTTTAAAGTTGTTCAATGCACTGAGGGCTCGAGTCATGGAAGCTTTGGGAGAGAAGCTGGATCTTCAGCTGAATCTCAAGTATTTGTAATGATGACTCAGCAGAGGTGGTCATGGTGGATTTCTCAACTCACCTTTCCTGGAAATATAGAATTTTTGATTCATGTAATTTCTGGTATTTCTATTTCCTTATCAACAACTATTTTGCTCCCTTGGCAAAAGTGAAGAGTTCTCAAGTTGTCTCTTTTATCTGCTTTCAACAGCCCAAACTTTTCTATCCCAGATCCTCCTCTCCTCCACCTGCAGTTCTTTCTCCATGTGCCAGTTCCCTTCCTCTCCTCACCTCTTCACATTCTACTCTTCCAAAGAATCCCCCCAGGTGCAGTGCCTTCGAGCCTACAAACCCCGAGAGCATGATGAGTTGGCACTAGAGAAGGCGGACGTGGTCATGGTGACTCAGCAAAGCAACGATGGTAAGGAGAATCCACAGGAGTTGGCCAGACACTGGAGTGGGGGTGCTGTTGATGGACGTGTTCATTCCCTGGGTAACAAGTAGCACAGTGGGTGGCTTAAAACACTGGCAGTGTGTCCTCTCATGGTCTGAAGGCCAGAAGTCCAAGACACACAAGGTTGGCAGGGCCATGCACTCCCAGAGCTCCTAGGAAAGGATCTGTCTTTGCTTATTCCAGCTTCTGGTAGCCCTGAGTGTTCGGTGTCTTGTGACTGCATGACCCCTAATTTCTACCTCCATCTTCATGTGGCCGTGTGTATGTGCATGCACACGCAAAGTCCCTCTTTGTGTAAAGTCACCTATTATATTGGATTAAGATGTCAAGGGTGACATCTTAATTTTACTAATTATATCTGCAACTACCCTATCCCCAAGTAAGATCACTTTTGGGGGTATTTGGGGTTAGAATGTCAACGTATATTTTGGAGAAACCCAATTCACTCTCTAAGAGTTGAGAAGGCTCAGAAATAGACAATTGTAGACTTTGCCGGACCCAGAGAAACCAGGGTTAGTGCATTGGGAGGTTGGAATCCCTGCTGGGGCTTCTCCTACCTATTCAGCATTAGGGGTCAGAAGTGTTTTGGGGAAGGAGGTCCAGGGGAAATTATTGTGAGTTTTTCCCATTTTTCTTCCTCCCATCCTGTGCCCATAGGTTGGCTGGAGGGCGTGAGACTCTCCGATGGGGAGCGAGGCTGGTTCCCTGTGCAACAAGTGGAGTTCATTTCCAACCAAGAGGTCTGTGCTCGGAACCTGAAGGAGGCCCAGAGAGTCAAGACTGCTAAACTACAGCTGGTGGAACAGAAGACCTAGCTAGCAATCTCCTGAGCTGAAGAATCAAACTCCATAAGGATTTAATTTTGGTGTCCTGAAAAACCAAGATGGCGCCTCAGAGAGGACTGGCCTCAGAACCCTCTAACAGAGGCCTTCTGTGACCCAAACCTAGAGTTTCTGAAAGCCCAAAGACAAAGTCCAGCTCCCAGTCGCTAGTCCAGGCCTTTTTGTACCTGTGCTTGGTGGGGGGACTTTGAAAGACTTTACACTGGACTCTGAGAAACTTTTCGCATAAGAAAAGGGACCAATGGGGCCTAAGCCAAGGAACTTTACTTCTACTATCATATAGTACTTAAACATTCTCTGCTTCTAGAGTGCATATTCAGAGCTGACCAGAATTTCCTTGATGGCCATAAGGTAAACAGAATCTGACTTCAATCCACTGGAGTTGTTTAAGGGGGATTAACACATCAGATGGGGTGGGGGTCGACTTTGGTGACCTCTAAGGTATCTTCCAGCCCTAGAGCTTTTCCATAATTATTGGTGTGAGGTCAGTGCATGCATCTCTGGGATCTATGTCTGTTGGTGGTGATGTGAGGACATCACGCTCTCACGCTAATAAATTTGGCACTTCAAGTGTTTTCTCCTGAGACTCCTTAGTACTCAGCAAGGTTCAGAACATGGAATTCCATAAGGATTTGATTTTGGTGTCCTGAAAAACCAAGATGGTGCCTCGGTGATGGCAGCTGTTGACTCCTGCTTTATGACTCATGAGTTTTTGAGCATCTTTTCTGCTTGTTATGGTCTCAGAGGTTGCAAAGGGCATTAGAAGAAATTCAAAAGTGGTGACAATTCCACTCCAACCTTCTTTCTTGCTGGACCCATAAGTTAAAGTACAGGCTACTTTGGAAATCCTACTCCGGCTATTCATGACTTTGTATTCTGATATGAATTATTGTGAAGGTATCTTCTCAACTGTTTCACCATCTCTGTGAAAGGCAGCATGATGAAGTGGAAGAGTCCAGTTCAAGAGCCCTAAACTCCAGGCATCATATTGCTATGACTCAGCCTACTCATGTCTCAGCATTCTTAACGATAAAATGCAGGATAGAACAAAGTAACCTCCAAAGCCTTCCCCAGCTCTACAATGTATGGTTCTCTGTCTCCTTCCAGATTGCCTTTCTCAGTTGAAGAACATCACTCTATATACTTTTTTCTCATCTAGAGCTTTTTTTGCAGCAATAGCTCAATCATCTTTTAAGTTGGGTGATTCTAGTCCTCCTCTGGACACTTTACTGCTTGAGTTTATCTTTAGAAGTGCTCAAAAGTAGAATTACATTGCAGCTTTGTACAAAGGTAAGCATAACACTATCAGCTTGGACCTATGTCCAATCAATGTGATAGTATCACTTTTGGTAGCACATTTTGTTTTCAGTCCATCCTAAACATGCTAGCATGCTTAAAGTTCTTAAGAGTTTTCACTGTAGCAATTAAGATGGGACGAATATTTTATATGAAACAAGTTGACACTGCTAAAAAAAGTCTAAAATAGGGATATTTGAGGGAAGTTTAAGGTTTTTCACTATTTTTATAAAATTAGCTTTCCATTATTAATATGTGATCATGTTATATGTATATATTCATATATAAACTAATAACTGGTTCTTATTAATAGCAATAACAATTATAATTATAACTCAAGCTATTTGTTCAAACCAAAATTTGAACACTGACCATATGGTTCAAATAGAACCACGTTCAACTTTATGTTTTTTATGGAAATTCTTCCATATTTTTGCAGAGAGGTTAAATATCATCTTTGGGATGATACATATGCAAATACTATTTTTTTAATTGAGCCGTCACTTCTTTACTTGAAGTTACTAAGGCTTACCAAGCACCTCTGGAGGTAAGTTCTATAAGACCTATAACCAAAACTGTTCTTGAGATATTGAGTATATTTTCATTTCCTTGGGTTATTCTTATCAAATCTAGGAAATTAAAAGACATTTGGTTTGTACCTGTCTTTAGTTCCTTGGTTTAAAAAACTAACAAAACTTAGGTCTGTGCAATCTCCCCTCAGTTGAATTACTATTCTACACTTCTGAATTTTGGAAAATTGGTCCAGCCATCATCCCTCTCTTCTGCAGACATCCAGAGTTTAACTCAGCTTACTCTGTAATCCTCATGGCGCTGTTGGGGAGAAACATTTTACCTCCCTCTAGGTTCTTTGGCTGGTCTAATAATGAAATTGACATATGACAGATTAACATGAGAAAAATAAATCTAATTACATTTGAACAGGAGCCCCACAAAAAAAAAAAAAAAAAAAAAAACTTGAGACTCAAGGAAGTGACGAAAACAGGAAGTTTTTCTATTTTTTTAGACCAGGAAAGAATAAATTTGAGAAGAATTAACAAGATCAAGGGGTTTAGGCTTTGAGTAATAAATTAGCAAAGACCTAACAAGGTTGTTTCGACAGCCTTCTGGGTCCTAAGTTGCCTCTCTCAAGGGATACAGATGTGTTCTATCCTCTGGTATGAGACGGTACTTTTCACATGGGAGATTTATTTCCTGCTTCGGGGGACAAAGGGCAGTCAGAGTGACCTTGTTCTTTCTCAAATACCTTTCATTTCAAATAATCCATATGCCAGAGCATCATGTATTGGGGGTGGCAAACACAGCAGCTTCTTAGGAGAATTGTGAAAGCAGCTATTAGCCAACACCTTTTGAGCAGAACTGCATTGGATGCATATATGAATGTACAGTATTATGTTGGTTTCTAAGCAACATCTCGCATAGGAGTAGTGTCTTGAGACATCACCAACAGTCCCTTCCTATAGGACAGCGACATTAAATGCTTGAAAGCATTTATAACATGCATGGAACTTACAATGACATGGAAATACACTGAGCTGCTTCCTCAGCGCTCTTGACCATGGAAATTCCATGTATCACTTTCAACTACATGCATAGCTGTGAAAGCTAGTCTTTAAATTTTATTTTTACCACCAGCTTTTCCCTTTGAGTTACTTACATTCCTGAGATTTGTATTGTTCACAGCTTGCCCTGTCATGGCGCTTACAATGATTTTGATAAGATCAGCCTGCATGTCAGTCAGTGTCTGGAAGACTCACCGTTAGAAATAGATTTATTTGCCCTAATTTTCTTTTCTGTCTCTTAAACAACCTCTGTGTCTATGATACAAGAGCAAATGAATTTTGACCCTACGACAATTGATTTTTTTTTTATTAATTAGCCTTTAGGATAGCAGTTGTTTGAGAGCCTTTGAAAATGTGAAGACCATCCACTGCCTCCCCTTCTTTGACACTCATATTTAGCTCCCTGAGGCCCCAGGTGGCTCATCCCACTGCAGCCTCTGCTTTTAACGCTGCCCTGATCACACCCTCTTCTTGCTAATGAGGTCAAATGAGAAACCTAGTTTTTTGGTTCAGTGGTGCCTGCTAGATGTGTCTCCGCCTCATCCGCCCACTGGCAGACACATCGCCAGGACCTGGCGTGTCCCTACATGGTCTTGCAAACCTGCACAGAAACCTCTCGCTGGTGGTGATTTGGTCCTATCGCTAAGCAGTGACCCTCCAGCTGCGTTTGCTGTAAACATGACTCAGGAGCTGCGAGATTACAGCAACTCCAAGTCTGTTGCTTAATGTAATCGTCTAACCCTGAACTCAGGTGTGCAGAGGGGGCAAAGGTCGAGAGCAAACAAGCTAATGAGAAACAGATGCCAAACGTGTCCAGGACCTTCTCTATACTTAGTTTTTGACCTGCTTCTTCCAACCCGCCCATTTTCAATCACAATTACAGAGTGGAAATTTCTCTCGTCTCTTTCTGGAAGAGGCTGAGGCAAAATCATGGCTTTAGTCTGTAAAATTCCCAGAGAACATTGCAGAAATGAGGCCACAGGTCCTAAGCGGCTCCAGGAGCGGAGGTGAGTGGATGAGGGTGTTTATTCTTTCTGGGTGGCCTGAGAACAGGGGCTGTGTGGAGGAAAGGAGCTGCTCGATGTGTGCTGTAAACTTTTCCAGAGCTGATGAGGAAGGGAGTGACTCTGCTCCCTGCTGCTTGGGGAATGAGTCATTCGCCCCAGGGCAGAGCCTGTGCTGGGCGGAGCCAGCCTGGCCCACAAGCTCCCCAGAAGCACCAGTGGCAGAGAATTCTTTCCTGGCAGTGTACCTGGGCATTTCAGAGAGGCAATTATCTGTGAACAATACAATGGAAACTCAGAGTGGGAGCCAGTTTATTGCACCAGTGAGAGGGACATACCCTGTGCTCTCAGACTGGGGTCTCCGGACCACCAGGGGTAAGGTTCAGACCTTTCTGGAAAGGGTTCCTGAGTGCCCCAGACCATGGGACGCTGTGGCAGAGTCCACAAATCCGCCACAGAGCAGACAGTCTCAGGAGAAAAAGGAAATGCAAAGGTAAAGAACAGGGCCCATCCCACCAGTTCTAGAGTGTTCTCTCGCTGAGATCAACTTGTAGGGAGGAGATCCTGCTCCCCTTTGGACTCAGAAGAGCCCTGAGGACCTGTGTGTCTCCAGGGAGCCTGGAGATGATGTGCCTGATGTCACACGGTCAGGTGGCACGGTCAGATGGCTCCTAACCGCTGATAGGAAGAGCCCTAGGTTGCCCTCAGCATTTGTACAAGGGACCTGCTGACTCTGAGCTGGTAAAAGGTCGCAGGGGACGTGCTATCAAACACGAAGATGGACAAGTGTGTACAGGCAGATGATTCTCGAGAGAGTGGGAGGAGCTGGTGGTCACACTTGCGGAATTGTTAAGAAGCAGGTTTTGGTGAACCTGAGCTGGCCAAGCAACAGACAGGAAGTCAGGCTGAAGTGTGGTTTTCACAGCTGTTGATCATCTTGCCTTGAAGTGCTGGTGAGTGTGTGTGTGCGCGCACGTGCTCACGCCTGGGTGTAAGGGGGGACTTCAGATTTGACTGAAGAAAATCCAAGAGGATCTTTACTAGAAGATGAAATTTATGCTGAAGACTGGGTTTCCTCCTTGAACTAATGCTCACAAAAGAGGGTCATGGGGGAAATGATGAAGGAGTTTTCCATTGAAAATCAAGGACCCCACCCCAGCTCTCATATACATAAATACAGCTTTTGAAAAAATCAAGAAAACGTGGACAATATTAAAAAAAAATTGAAAATAGTCCTTTAATTTCTGGGACTCTAGGGACATTTTTTGTTCACTAGGAATGAAAATGTGCCTGATTTCAGCAACTCAAATGATGAAGACTTAGAGGAAGTAACAGAAAAGTCAAAGCAAAATCCACAATGTGCGTGCAGGTGAAATGACAGCGGCATGCTTGCAGGCCTTAGAGCTTGTTACTATTGTTCCTCAGAAGGGGTCTCTAAAAGGTGGGCTGTCTCCTTGGCAGGCTAAGGGGTAGTGGACCCTGGCAGGGGCCACGCTGGAGAGGACACGGGTAGCGCCGGGAAGGGCTGACACAGCAGCCTGGGCTGGAAGTGCACCAGAAAGGTCCGAGAAGTCCCCGTGGGCAGACGCTCCATTCTCGGATAACAAAATGGCAGCAGGAGGATGTACTTAAGCCAACGTGAGCGGTGAGACTGAGAGAGAAAATGTGACAGCCCAAATGCAGAGGTAGAAGCTGTGGTACCGGGCAGAAACCAGCTCTCTGGACTGGCGTATTTTGTCAGTCAAGCTCCTGGAGGCCTGGGCTTCGAGAACCAGCATCCCTTGAATGTTCTCCCCTCCCTACCCTGTGACCACATTCTCTTGATTCATGCCTAGCACAGTTCACGCTGATTGCTTCCACTCCCTCTGCCATCATTTCAGACTCAGCTCCTCATCCCTGGACCCGGAATGGCTTCCCCCACTGGTTTATCTATCCCCAGTCGTTGCCTGCAGTCCTTCTAGAAGGGCCCTCTCAGACTTGCCTGCATCCTTGTCGTTCCTCTCATTAGCGACCAGGTGGTCAGGCTTTTCACACCGGAACCATCCGACTCCCACATGCCCTCCCCTGGCGCCCAACTTTCCCTCCCGGCTCTCCCCGCCCCACAGCTTTACTTCCCTCTTCACCTTTTCTTTCCGTGCGCCCCGATTCCTCCCCAGTTTTGGAACATGATACTTCCTTCTTTTCTCCCTCCTCCGTCCCCCAATAATTACCCTATTTCTTTGTAAATCAGACTGGACTGTACTGTTTGAATGATTTGCCTACAGGCCTGGGGTCAGTGGAAGGACTTGATTCTAATTTAATCTCGATGCTGCCCATCATTTTTATTCAACTCACCCTCTAAGACGCTCCATATGCATTTCTCCTTGAAACTACCTCCTGACCTTACTTCACATCCTGTTTAAGATTTATTTCTTAGGCAACTTTGGAAAAATCCTTAAACCTCTCTTAGTCTCAGATTTTCACCTGTCGATTGAATGATGGTGTTGTGAAGAGGCAGTAAGAACCTGTTACACAATATATGCTAAGTACATGGGTAATGTCATCATGAATATTTTGAGGATCCAGTTCTCAGTCAATAAGTTATTAATAAGTAAATAAGTTACAAGACCAGAAGTAAGTGGTCTTGTAAAACA